GGAGAGGAGAGGAGAGGAGAGGAGAGGAGAGGAGAGGAAAGGTCCAGATTCCAGCAGTTCAGCTCTCCGCCAACGGACGTGTCCAGATGGCCTGGAGAGAGAAGGCCTTTGACTGAGGGACAAAGAGACACTTGTGAGCGACAAAATGTAACTCTCGCGAACGCACATACATACGAGCGCACACAGCTGTGCGGCGTATTGTTCGTCTTAGCTCGGCCGGCTAGCTCCCAACGTCGATGGAATGTTTGACTGTCCGCCTCTCGCGCCCTTGAGACATGATGTCACTCCGACAAAAACGCCGTCTTTTCAAAGAGAAACGGCTTTTTATGTGTTCAGGACACCACAATGAAAAGAGAGAAAAAAAAGCTAGAAAATGAGAGATGTAGAGGACTGGATATGCTCAGAGCTCATGATAAATTGAAGGCCGGTTTGATGGTGGTCGTGACAACCCATTAAAGCGGGGCGTAAAGTCCCATTTTCGCCTGCCACAATGATACAGGGGAATGCAGAGGGTGAGCCTGCTGTAAATGTGTCAGAGCGTAAAGCGCGGCGTTGTAACTTTACTCCGGATTTATCACTGGGAATAATCACTGTAAATGATAGCGCTGAGAGGCGGTGGAGAGCGGAGGGATGAAATAGATGAACAATAAAAACACTAAGGGGACAAACTAAGCCAGGCCAACTATTACGTCGCAGATACATACCTTTAAATACTCCCAAAGTGGAAACTGCACCAGTGAGAAGGGGATCTGAAAAAAAAAAAAAGCAGACAAAAGTTTTGAATCATCAGGATTATGTCAGCGTTAGTTTTTTTGATTTTCCTGGAGGTTTCCAGTTTCATCTTTAACCTCCAATCTCTTGCACTTGTCATTCCTGCCACCTTTCTCTATTTCCTCTCACTGGTCTGACTGCTCCCTTGTTCCTTCTCACTGCTGATGATTAATGAATGAGACGGGCTGTGGTCTGGCAGATCTGAATGGATAGATGGATGGATAGATGAAGCAAACTTGGAAATAGAGGGATAGAGGGAGGGTCTGGGGTGATGTGTGTGTGTGTGTGTTGCTGCTGCTGGAAACACTAAATCGGCTCAGGCAGGAAGTTACAGCGGGAGGAAATCGATGGCAGTGCCAAGGCGAGGGGTGATGACACAGTCAGACCACACACACACACACACACACACAGCAGCAGCATGCAGACACATGGACAGGACTGAGCACGCTTTACATAAACACACACACACAAGAAGAGTCACACACAGACTTGTATACCCTCTCACACACATCGCAGACACACACGCCTCCCGTCATCTGCAGGATCGGCAGGCGCAGGACAGGAAGGAAGAGAGGGAACGAAAACAAAAACCAGTGAGAGAAATAAATAAAGCCACACCGAGTTGTGTCATCAGTCTTTGATCGCGGCAACAAGAGGATCATTCATCCGTCTGCGCCGCCTACTCCAGCGTGTTCCATCAGACTACGTTAGCATATTGGTAAAAACCGGAGGGATCCAACTCTGAGTCAGCCGGGGCTCAAAGACAATGCACGAACTGTGTTTACGCCTCCTAATGAGCTTATTAAACGCTTAGTCCAAATGAACTGACCTCATATAAACACTCTGTCCAAAGGAGACTAACTTGAAGTGTTTCTGCTATTTCAGAGCTGAATATAAAATGATTTAACATCTTTGCAGTTTTATTAAAGGCTCTTTAAAAAGAATAAACGTCAAGACATGAAGTGAGTGGAACTGAACTTAAGCTTCTAAAACGACGTGATAAAAGGCCTGATGTTAAAGTCTAATGCAGAGTAAGACAAGATATTCAGAAATGTTTTGTTTTTTACATTAAGACTTTTCATAGTTTCACGACTTTCAGTACGAACAGAATCATGCTGTTTGCTTTTAAAATCAGCATCAGTCCTGCAGAATCCATGAATTGGCCATTATAGTTTCTACACCTGTGAGTATGCAAGGGTCTGCTAAAGTCTGCAAGATGAAAATTCAGTCATCTCCACAAGTCCATGGCTCTGTCCGAAATCATCCACTCACTCCCTATTCCCTACTCACCATGTAGGGACCACTATATAGTGAAGTATGTAGTGAACTATGTAGGGAGCACCTTGGCAAAGTAACATTTTGGACACTACTCGAGCTATTACTTACGTTGCTTGCTAGCTGTGATTTGTGCCGTAGCAGCGTAGTCCAAACACATTAAATTGACAGTTTATTGCATAGCTAAGAAATGGGTAAAATTAAATTTAACAAAACATCCATCCATCCATCATCTATACACCGCTTAATCCTCACGAGGGTCACAGAGGGGCTGGAGCCCATCCCAGCTGACTTAAGGTGAAGACAGGGGACACCCTGGACAGGTAACCAGTCTATCAAAGGGCTACACTTAGAGACAGACAACCAAGCACACTCACATTCACACCTACGGACAATTTAGAATCACCGATTAACCTCAACATGTTTTTGGACCTTGTGGGAGGAAGCCGGAGAACCCGGAGAGAACCCACGCTGCACGGGGAGAACATGTAAACTCCACGTAGAAAGATTCCGGTGTCCTCACCGGGACGCGAACCGGCGACCTTCTTGCTGCGAGGCAACAGTGCTAACCAACTGCTCCACCCTGCAACCCCTTAACAAAACATAAACAGGAAATTTCTTACTTTTTAATGACTCTCGTTCGTCCAGTTTGCATTTCTTGTCGCACAACGCACGACCATTGGCTGTACGCTACTTGTCACGGTGCATTGTGGGATACTTTGAGTGCACTATATAGGGTGTAACATTTGTAACTTAACATTCGGACAGCACTACCCTAGATAGTGCATTACGTAGGGTATAGTGGGTGATTTCGGACACAGCCCATGAAATTCTGCACAGACTTCTCATGTCTGCTTGTAGCCCACAAATTTGTGTTGACAGGGATAATCTGTGTGGTGGCTATGCTAGAAGGGTTGAAGTGCATGTGTGGAATACATAGATACAAGCTACTGCACGCGATAAAGTCGACTCCTGCAGACTAAAACAGTATTATAAGGTCAGTATAAACTTTTCTCATCTGTGAGCACACAAGACTCTGTGGGGGTTTGCGTGGATTCGCGGAGATAAAAAAATTACTTGGATCATCACAGAAGGTAGCCCTTCAGAAACATCCATGTGCAGCCCAAAATCTGCAACAAGGGCAACAGTTCACATGCTTGGCAGCAGCGTGCATATACATGTAGAGACGACCGACTGCGCACATATGTGCAGGAGTCTTCCAAGTGGACTCCTGTGAACTACAAAAATAGTACAATAGGAAAAACTACGCGTCGTGTTGTGCACAGCTGCCCGTGTGCACGCCTGAAGTATAATGGAGGATACAGCCCCACCACACTCGGTTACTGCTGCGAGGCTTGTGGTCACCTAACAACATGCTTCTTCTCTTGAAAAGTGATTTCATGTTAGTGCCGTTACTCAAACATGCGAACATTATGTAGCTCACATCAAGAGCACATAAAGCTTCAAATGCTGCACTCGGGCTGTTGCTTGATAAAGCGGGTCTGCGACGGGGACGGACAGAAATGTTTGCCCATCTGGTCTATCTGGGCAGACAGAAGCACATTCTCTCAGTCCTTGGAGATTATCTAAAAACTTTATTTGACGTACTGTAAGTCTGGTTTCCAGCCCCCTGAAAGAGGAGTGTTATAAAAGTGCACCTGTCTTTTATTACCACCCCGATGAGTTCTGCTTTTCCAGGCAGGAAAAAGAGAAAGACAGAGAAAAAGAGAGAGGGAGGGAGAGAGGGAGAGGGGTGCTGTAGTAATGAATATTACTGCTAGATGTAAGCAGAACATATTGTACTGATGCGAGTCAAAGTAAACTAAAGTCAGTATATGTCCTGGCTTATTGAATATTGATACTTTTGGACTACTTTTGCACACAAAACACAGCAAAGTTGGAATTGTCATTTAATCTTAATTGGACACATGGGGTACACATGCAGTGTCTCTATTGGATAACACTTCTTTCAAAAACCGGGCCTCGACATAAATTCATTCCCAATCTCTGTCAGAGTCTTATTGTTTCAGACAGGCTTTGAGTTGTTGCTGAAAGAGACAGTTAAATAAAGAGGGCGATAGAGTAATTTCAGAAAACTCAAAACAATAATTTGATTCGTTCGTACTTTGTGCAAAAAAGTGCAGAGAGGATTTTTTTTTTTTTTCTTTAACAACTGCATAAGAGACAGAGAGAGAGAGAGAGAAAGACAGATGGGTTCAGCAGAGGATCTGGAAAGAATGATCCACCAGTGATTTATGACTCGGTTTGACACCCTTGGCACAGAGCGAGGTGTGTTGTGTGTGTGTGTAGTGTGTGTGTAGTGTGTAGTGTGTGTGTGTGTTGCCCGACAGAGATGAAACATCTGAAAACCACATGAGGTCTGATTAAAATTGATAAGCCATTTATAGTTAAGGGAGGGCTGAGACCAAACACACACATACACACACACACACACACACACGAAACACACATGAACCTGACATGATGTGACATACAGCAGAATCCAGCTGTGTGCGTTTGTTTATTTGAGTTATGAAATCAATTTCACAGGGTGGGGGATGTGTGAGCTAATCGCTGTTATTTTTTCCAACACTAAAACGCTCTCCGCGCTCATCTCGCACCAACAAGCTCGAACCCACCGACGCGATGCTTCAACCTGACGTCGGCGTAGTGGAGGGACGGGATGAGAGACGTAATAAATCTCTCAGCTGAATGGGAAACAAAGAGACAGAACGAGAAGTGGGAAGGAAAGAAGGAGATTGGACAAGTGTCTCTACCTTCTCTTTTCATTTCTCATACAGATATTGCATCTTCCTACTGTGAGCGTTCCGACCAGAAAGCAACCCGACATCTGCTCATTTTTTATCAAGCTGAGCAACGCAATGCACAACTCACTACAAATCTTTTTTTTTTGCTTGATTTCGAGGCTGGGTAACCTTGGAGACACACATCTGCATCATCTTGTCACCTCACAATGTTGCTCATATCCTTCCTCTCTCTCTTTTATCCTGAGTAAAAACTAGAACCACAGTGTTTGAGTTCTAAGACAAGCCAAACACACAGCAAACCAGTGATGCAGAGCAATGCTAAAAACAGCCATTTCATCAACGTATGCTATAATTAGATTATTTAAAAACTGAACACAGTGGGAACTGAAAGGTTGAGATGTTTTTCTCTGGCATTATTCAACTGGATTATTGTGAACGTCGTAAGGTGGAAAGTGCTTCTTTCACTACTGAGAGAGAGGCAATAAAACGCATAAATGCAAACTGGCTCCTTAGAAAAGATGTTAAAATTTGAAACGTCCACAATAATAAATCAATAATGAAAAGAATCATTAACTGAAGCCCAGTGTGGAGGGCTGGCTGTGCTGCTCCAGGATGCTGAGAAAGGCCACCTGGTCGTAAATGGTTGCAGGTGTTGAGCCTCACGACGAGACGGGACGCTTTCTCTGGGACTGGAGGAACAGCATGGTTTTGATATTCTCCAGTTACAGAGGGGTACGCCTCGAGTGTTGAGGGCACACCGAGACCTCAGCTATGTCATGCTAGACTAGCACAACGCCATGCAGACGGCCAGGGTCATTCCACGCTAGGCTAGCATGAAGGCAGCCAGGCAGCAGAAACTGCACGCTGCTGGATGGTGCTAACTGCTGACTCCGTCTCATCCCCCGGCCTCATATAACGCCTCGGCTACCACGGCC